ATGTAAGTACATAGTAAAGACACCTAATATAAAGTGTGATCCATATTTTTTCCTTCTCTTGGACTGAGAATGTTAAATGTTGAATGTTTTATTTTTCAGTTTCATGTGTTTGAAACAGACCCTACAGTCTAACCCAGAGTTATTGAAGAGTTCATTGACTATATATTCTTCAATAAAGGCTGACTAATTTTTTAACTATGTTGCTATCTGCATCTCATCCATGAGGATGTGGGCTTATGTGGGTGTTGAGAACCAGAACCAAGCTGACTGAGCAAGATGAGCTTTAACTGTAGTATGAGCTTCTTTTCTATTAATATGCCTGGAGGTGAAGTCAAGTCACCTTTATTTCTATAGCGCTTTATACAATTGTTTCAAAGCAGCTTTACAGTGATAACAGGAAAATTCGAAAATTATGTATTTCGGCTGTTGTTCAGCTAAAGTCAGTTCAGTGTTGATTCAGTTCTGTTGTAAAGAAAATCAATTATTAAATTATTTCATCTATATAGCAGTTCTGCAATAAAACAAAAATGGTCGAATGGACACATTATTATTTAATATATTCCATCACTATCTCAATTACAATCAAGTACAATGAATTGTGTTCAGTTGAGTTGTAGGCACTAAAACAGACAAGTGCTTTATAGTTAAATTTATTTTAATATTGAATTGGTGTTGACATTTCTGTGCCACCCCTAAGAAAATATCCTGGCTCTGCCAAATTACTGCAAAAGACTAGAACAATAGGATAAATTGCACAAAAATATCCCTTGGTTGCATTTAACCACAAAAAAAAATCAAAATAAATAAATTCCCTCATTTAAAATCCCTCATTTTTTGCATTGTTTTACAATGCAAACGTGCCATTATTTTTGTAGCAATTAAGCACATTTCACACCCCTTCCCCTAATTAGTCTTATTATAAATGCATTCTACTTTTGAGGGTTTTTGTACTTTTTTTAACTGTATTGTACATGAATAATAAAAAAAACTACATTGTAATCCACGATGTTTTATTTAAATCAGCATAAGTTATATATACAACAAATCATGATGATGTTGTAATGTAGTGCAACAAATCATTACAACAAATCGTTGTTTTTTTCACTGTAATCAGAAAGAGATTTACAGTTTCAAATGAGCTGAGTATTTGATGAGTATTTCTGGACATATTCTTGAGAGGTTTTGTTACAAAGGCAAAAAGAGGCTGTTACAATCATTTCACCACAGGTAAGTCTTGATTAAGCGTTTCCTTAACCAATGAAAAGTGACTGAGAGTAATATTAGATCATTAGGCTAACTGTTGCCAAGCAACTTATAGAGTTCAATGTGATGCCACAGGTGTGCATGCACTGACAGTTTCAATAATGGATCATCCAATCATTTTTACAGCTAGAACTATCTTCTTCTCTTTTTTTTTTAAGCTGGCAAACAGTTTGTGGGTTCCATCAAGCGTGGACAGCCCTCAGGTATACTGCAGTCAAGACTAAAGTGATAATTAATAGGCTCTGTTGACGGCTAGAATCACCACCTCATACTTTGTTATTGCACTTTGCCAGAAGCTGATAAATTTGAGACGTCACCGACGCTGAGTGAAGTGAACAGGTGTTTCAATGACATGTCCTCATGCTCAGCTGTCTTGGGCGTGTGTCTGCCTCGGTCATCTGTTGTAGCTCATGATATTGAGATCATCATTTAGTAGGAACGAAGAACTCAAACCAACACAACAGAGATCGGAGTATCTTAGCACACTGGGCAAACCGGATTCATTGTTAATGTATCGCTGCACTGAGATTGGATTGCTGATATTTCTTTAACTATATCTGTAGATATTATCAATCAAATGCAACACAAGCATTTATGAGGCTGTCCTAATTTGCATCAGGTGTGTGGAACTCATAGCATTCTTTGAACTATGTGCTTGTGCAAAGATGTCATATCTTTTTTGTGATATCCCAAATGAAAGTATGACCGAACTGACATCCTGCCTCTACCCCGGAAGAACAGTATTGTCTTTTACATCCCCCAAATCTAGGTAATTAAAAGACAAAAGGACAGAAATGAACATTTCCATTTGCTCTGGAGTCTTAGATATATTTGCTCACTTTTCATCTGAAGTGTATTCAGTCTAGGTTTTAATGCATATTTCAGCAAGCCCAAGCAAGTGCACCTCTGAATTACCACTTTACTTGTAGGCCCCGGGGCCACAGAGCCGACTTTGACATCAAGAGAGAAGTGTTTGGGAGAAGGAATGTGCGGCAAGCTTTCACCTCCAGGTATTTATCTTTTAAGGTGGAGTGCGGGGGGTGGTGTTTAGGGTGCAGTCAGGCAACACCATCTCATAAGGAGAAGAAGGAAGCCATGAACCTGGTCTCTATACCTGATCCACGTCAAAAACCTCCTTCATAGTGGCCGAAGCAAAAATCTAACATTAGGTTATGGGTTAGATGTTATTAGCTGGTATAAGTATAGATTATAAGTATTAGCTGGTTATTAGATACGCTTGTGTATACCAATACCCTGCATGGACATGGGCAGTCCTGCGGCAGGTTATCATATCACATATGCGTAACTCTCTCAGCTGGAGAACCGCAGGCCACCCTGCTGAGGTAACTTGCCCAGCGATTTCAGCATGTTTTCACACATGTCCCTTCTGTTACGGGACACCGAAACTCTGTGACGTATTGCACTTGATTCTTAAAGAACAATCTGTCCACATAAAATCCGACAAACTTCAATGTCTTTATTCATACCTTATTTATGTCCGAAGGTGATTGTTTTAACCAAGAGAAATGGGCTCACATTAAAAAACAAAAAAAACAGCATAGAATGATCTAGGTTAAACTAGACACTTTTCTGACAGGCCTACTTCTAAATTCTCACATTTTAATATATATTATAATATTGATTGGTTTAGATAGCTTTATACCTCAGTGTTTTTATAGCTTCTTGTATATCTTCTTTCATTAGACAATTTTAAACCTTGATGGTGAGTGCAGCATAAGTTTCCTTGTGAAAAAGAAGTGCATTTTTGCATATTTTTCAAACATTCTTATTATGGAAATAATACATTTAAATGCTAAATGTGCTGTTTTTGGAGACCTAATTTTATGTTATTTACAATCAATGAAAATGTATTAAAATTAAAATGTATATTTAATGCAATAAAAAAAAATAAAAAAGAGTGTTTTGACCCACTTGAGTATAGGACTTAAGTACACAATTGTATTGCTTTTATTACAACGCTTTGAGAAGCTGCTTTTAAAGGCGCTTTATAAAATTAAGTTCATTATTATTATTATTACACCTTTATGTAATTTCATAATTACTTCTATTGTCTTTGAAATATGGTCAAAGTGTAAAAGAGTTGAATGGACAAGCATTTATGCTTTAATGTCATTTCTGTTAAAACTTGTATAACTTGAAATGTAATCTCCAATAACTAAAGTTATTTGATAACCACACAACAGTTAACATTATAAGAAAGTGCTTTACATGTGATTTAGCATGTTAGTAAACACAATGAAATAAGTGTAGATTATTAAAACAACAAGTTCTTTAAAGTAAAACTTTTCATTTGACTTTAATACAAAGTGCACTTTTTAAAAGTGAATTGTGTTCAGAAACTCTATTTAAGTCCACCTAAGTGACCTTATTTCATTAATATTATATTATGTGCAAGTGCAGTAAGAAAAAAAAGATACTTTCAAGTTTTGAAATAGAAGACAAGTGCACTTTCAATACAATGAAGTGTACTTCTTTTTCACAAGGGTTGGCTACTCATTATAAGCAACAGAAGTTTCTGGATGCCATTCTCTGAATTGGCATTGTGAATGAGAAGGAAAGCACGGCTTTTAAAATCTCAAGAGGGTCAGACAGACAACAATTAACAAAAAAGAGTGGCCTGGACTGTGACTAATGACCTACTCAATTACAGCTTTTACAACCACTGAGAAAACTCAGCTTTATTGTCTCGCCTCCCTGAAACAATGATCTTTTAGGCGTACCAGTGAAATCTGTTCAAGAGAACACCTTGAATGTTTCTGCCAGGTATGAAGTTATGACTTGTGTGAAATTTTTGTGCAAGCATTTAGTTATATTTCATGGCAAATACCTTCTGTTAAATTCTTTTAAATATAGTCTCAAATGATTATGCAATTCTGCATATTCTTAATAAATAATTTTCCAGCCTCCTCAGTTACAATTGCCTATTTATTTTATTATTACTACAGGTGTTTTATTTAAATTACAACAACTAAGCGTTCAATGGCCAATGAAATAATGTTAATAAAAATACAACAACTAAAATCCAATGTTGAAAATGGTATAGGCCTAATTTAAATGCAGATTAAGTTGACCTCTGATTAACGAAACAAATTGAACAGCTACAATAACAGCATTGATATTTTACAACTACACTCGCTTATGTTTAATTTAAAGACAACGCGCTTTTAAGTCCTCTATTGGAGAAATTCCAGCCTGTCATAAAATATATTAGTGACAAACAGACGACATCTGAATCACTGAGAAAAATGTTACTTTTTTTTTTTTTTACTTTTTAATAGTTGACAACTAATTAGCCTATAGGCTACTCACTCTTTTAATAAATCAATTGCACATTTTAACGAACAAATTAAACATGAGTTGTTACACATATCTTATAGGTCAATGTTGATTAAAGTTGATCCAACAATTTACTTACGGTAGCTTAACTTTTAACAGGTGCACGACAGACAGATAGACAGACAGAAAGATAGATAGATAGATAGATAGATAGATAGATAGATAGATAGATAGATAGATAGATAGATAGATAGATAGATAGATAGATAGATAGATAGACATCGCGTAATCTATCATCATATCATCACCAGTTCAGCTGACGTCATGGACATTTTCAATCCCCAAATCATTGTCAAGTTGAAAGCTTGTCATTTACCCTTTCTAGACTAGCAAACTCATTGTATTTCACATAGAAAGGTTAAAAAGGTAATAAAACTTACCACCATATCGGGTAGCTTGCCATGACACGCGTGAGCCCACAAAAAAGAAACAGGAAATATCCAAAATATATCATCCTTTAAAAAGTTAGGCTTAAACAGACACGCACGCACACACGCACGCACGCACACACACACACACACACGCACACACACATACATACACACACACACACGCACGCATACACTCGCCCGCGTGTGTCAATAAGAGAACACGAGATGATTATGAGCGATATTTCTCTCCGATAATCCTACAGCCTTCTTCTGTGCGCGTTCATGAGGCACATATTAAAGTTGAGAACAGCTTTTCATTCGGACCCAATCACAGGCTTTTGCCACGGGCGAAATTCTGATGATAGAGTCACTCAGTCAGCCTGAACCGCAATGCTCAGGACACTCACTGTTTTAATAGTTATTGGGACATGCAAGGCTTTCTGTGTTATATATATAAGGTTGTCTACGGGTGGGTGGGGGGACCCCTGTGGATTGGGTAGCTATAACAACCTGTCCGGATTTCACCCCCCGATTTAAAGCCCCTCATATGCAAAAATGAAAACGTGTGAATTGCTCGCTTGCCTCGTGTTCGTTTTTCTTGCAGTAGCATATTGATTGTTTCGCTCTGTTCAAATTATTCGATTTTCTATTTTCTTATTTAAAAAATAAATCAAATAAATAATTTTATAAATGTTTATTGTAGCTATATATAAATGCTACATCTACTATACATCAAATACCCAGCTGAAGTAACTACGCCGTAAATAGGCTATATCAGGTGTTTTGTTTCCAATTCGAATATCAAACCCAATTAAAACATTTAAAGAATGGAAAATAATACTCGGGATAAAACTAAAAACTGTACATTTCCCTTATACTAAGATCATGGAATTGTTAAAGTTTTTAACAATTGTTAATCGTAATAATGATAATATGAAGGGGGAAAGGCCTGCCTATATTATGCTATAGCCTAATAGGGCATTTTTTTAATGTCGCATTTCCCAAATCGGAAACTTTCTTTTAAGCGGTTGCAGTATTTCTTTCACGTGTTGTCTTTACGACTGGAAGTGTATTGATATTCATTGATCCTACACACCGGATCAAATGCGGTTTGTGGTGGAACAGGTCCTTTACAGAGACTATAGATCTAAAGGATAAGCTCAAATCAAGTAGAGTAGGCTATATAGGAAATGTTGACGAATGAATTAATGAATTAATGAATCTTTCGTTCTCCCTCATCATAAAGTCTTAAAATATAATAACTAACTTGCAGATCTAATCAGAGAATTCTTTCCGACTATTAACTGTTAAATAACTATAGATCAACTGTTACATAAACCTGCACATTTCTCTTGTAACATAATAAGAACTACAATAACGAAATAACAAATAACCATATGGGCCCAAATTTCCTCAAAGGTCGTATAAACTTATATCATTGTCATGTTATATCATTGTCATTGTCATGCTGTATCGACCTGCCTTTGATCTATACAGTCATGAGACTTTAAATTCCAAATTAATTCATTCGGCTATTTCGTGTTCACAATATATTGATAAAAAAAACACTATAATTATGCCATCTTGATCTTCACATTAGATTCTGTTCAAACATTTATTAATTTTACTCGTGTTTTTTATTTGAATAATAGGCTATCTCCATTCATTCTTTTTTTCATGCGCTCTTTACAGGACTGAAACCGGATTGGAATTTCTGTTTCACATGTCTCCATCTAGTGGCAATGAGCAGCAGTAAACTCGATGGTGGCAAACACAATCACACTTCATTCATGTTGCTCAGCAGAGTATTTAAAGAGAAGCAAATGTTTTTGTTTCAGTTTCTAAACTATAACTATATTAGGGGTCTATTTAGAGGACTGCTGAACCTCAGAGCCAGTGAAAATTATGTCTAAGCTTTCAGTCCTGTCAAGTCTGTCACTCCTCTGTGTTTCTGTGAACATCTGACCTTACCAACCTATGCCCTCTGGTGGCCATAGACTCTGAAGTGACTTCAGCTGAATAAAGAATCTATAGCTGATTGCATTTTCCTGTTTCTGTAAAGCTGATTTGAATCAACCTGTATAGTGTAAAGCTCCACATAAACAACGGTGATTTGAATAGTGAAACAAGATCTACATATCCCTGATGCTTACCCAAAGATTGCTTTATTGTGATTTGCGAATTACTAGAATTAATAAACAATAGAATCATTTTTGTAATGAAGAAATCTGTGTTGCCTTGTTAAATGCATTTTGAAAGATCTCTTCTTTACAAATCAGCTTCCTGGAATGATAGACATTTATTGCTGTTAAGTCAGAAACTAGTGTGTTTTGGAAGTTATTGAATGCCTCTGTGTTGTAATATGTGACTCACCTGTATTGAATGAGAATATTAACTTTTGGATTAGATATTCATTAAAGTAATCTCTCACACACAAATAATCTGTATTGATTCATGTTGCTCCAATGACATCTATTTGACTTTCTTTCTTTTCTGTTTCTTCTGTTCTGTTTTTTCTATTTGGTAAAAAAATAATAAATATAAAAATTAGAAATAAAAAGGTAAGAAAAAAGCATGCAAAAAGAGCATTTTTTGGGTGAACTGAATAATTCGTGTTTAGCAGATATTAATGATTGATTCTGAAGAGATTCAAGTTTCGATGCAAAACATAATAAAAAGACAAAAATTATCAAAAGACTGCATTTCTTTATTTAAACAATCTATTAATCCATGTTCACTTTTTTTTGTCATAAAATACTCTTTTTACATCCCAACACGTTTTCATGTCGTGTTGGGAGGTGTTTTGTAGAGCGAAAATAAGTTCTGTGCAGTGTTTTTTTTACTTTTTTTCTTTCTTTCTGGAGAAGAGACAGCAGAGGTGTGAGTCGAGGCACTTTTTCCGCCCGTTGTAATCATGACCTCACAGGCAGAGTCAACACTCAAAACATACTCAAATGACATGAACAACGTCAGCTGCAATCCTGTCCACAATATCACTGGTGCAGAAATATGAAACAGACAAAAATGTTTGAGGTTCTGCTTCAGAGTCCAGCTAACAGAGCTTGAAGAGGGTGAGGTGTTGTTTAGTCATGGGTTACAGTATACGAGCAAAGTGTCAAGCTCTATTATTCCAGCCATGAGAATGGAATATGATTAATATTGCCCCCAGGTAACTATGAACTCAATGAACCTTCACACTTTTTCCTCCTTACTCAACGTGACTACCAGATCATGTTGACAACGTTTCTCTAAAACTTTTGTCTAACCCCTTTTCCTGACATTTACATGTAGGCTGCATAAGATACTGTAAAGTCATGAATTGATTTGTTTTCACTTTTAATGTTGTTAATTTTTGTTGTTGTTGCTTTTACATCAAAAACACGTATAATTTAAAAGTAAATTGCCATTTTCTACCCTTTTTTTACCCTCGGGTTCAAGGATAGGAAACTCCGGTCCTAGAGGGCCACTATCATGCAGAGTTTAGCATCATCCCTAGTCAAACTGTGTCCCAATTCAGAGGCTGAATCCTTTGAAACCTGTGAAGTCGAACCAAGTCTTGTTAAATGGGATGGTTCCTTCGAGATTTTCCTATGGGGTTTTATAATGGTGTTTTTTGATTTATGTGTAGAATAAAGCATGTGGTAATCCCAACTTGACTAATACTTTGACATTTTGTTCTGCAACGTAAATTACACACCCATAGTGACAATGCGAATTTTGAAGCAGTTATTTTCATTTTTGATAATGTACATTTTTAATAAGTAACTAGATAGGACTGCTTTTTCCGAGGATATGTCACCAACCATTAAAGCACTACATTTAAGAGAAAATGCATCCCAGGTATTATCCAGTGAATACAGCGAAAACGTTTTGGTTACTGTTGTAACCCTCGTTCCGCGAAGGAGGGAACAGAGATGTTACATCGACAGACTGACATTTTGGGATATCACTTGGGAGCTCAATCTCCTTCAAGTGGTAACAAAACAAGCCAATGGACATTGGTGAGGGAGATTTGCATGGCAAGCCACTCCCCCCGACCCACGGGTATATAAGCTTGCTTGCAACTCACTCATTCAGGTTTTTTTGAAGAGCCGAGATATTCCCAGCCATTCACCAAGCCGTCTCCATATAAGTCGAATAGACCTCCGTACCTGGTGAGACGGAAGGACAGAACTTTCCAAGGGGAAGGTCGATAGCTGCTGTTCCTTTCACTTTTACACTATACAACCACAACTGGTTTGGATAACACTGGGGTAGCGTGCTGAGTCCAGATGGAAAGGGATACTACGGAGACCATATTCTGCCCATATGGAGGTAACGTGGAAATACACAGATGGACTGACCTGTGGGGCAGTGCTAGATATGAAAGATCTATGTGGTAGTTCCTGGCTAGACAGGGATGAAACCATTACCAATGCAGCAACAGGGCAGAGTGGAATCTGCCCAGGGAAAGACACAGATTTACCGACAGGGAAACCATACTGTGAAAAAAATACACAAATGGGATTACCAGGAAGGAAACACAACATATGGGGAATCTAGCACAGTACACGAAACCAGCTCAACCCGTGTTAGGTGTCGCTCAGCCCGCAGTTCTGCAGATGTATGCCAGAGAGGCGCCGCATGCCAACGCCCAGGAGGTGGCAACACTTTGAGTTAAGTGAGCCCTCACCCCAAGGGCTCACTCAAAGACTGGTACGTAAAGACAATGGCATCCACTATCCAGGGTGCCAACCTTTGTTTAGAGCTAGCCTGTCCCTTCTGCTGACCTCCAAAGCAGACAAAGAGCTGCTCTGAGCTTCTAAAGTTCACCACCTGGTCCCGGAAAGGAGTAGTGGGAACTTTAGCCATATCCGGGCAAGGGTCTTCGCTTGCAAGTTCACCACCTGGTCCCGGAAAGGAGTGGTGGGAACTTTAGTCGCATATCTGGGTCAGTGTCTCAGGACTACGTGAGAGTCAGCTGGTCCAAATTCCAGGCATGTTTCGCTGACCGAAAATGCCTGCAGGCACCCCACCCTCTTAATAGATGTGAGCGCAGTCAGGAGCACTGTCTTGATTGATTGATTGATTGATTGATGAATACTTTATTAGTCCCTTTCGGGAAATTCAAGCACCCAGTAGCTCACACAACACATAACAATTACAAACAGTAAAATCACGTTTTACTGAAAACACCCAACTCTAATAATAAATAAATCAGCCACAAAAACCAAATTAGAAAGCTATACAGTAAGGAACATAAACATGTGTAAAAGGCACATAGTCCTAAGAATAATTAACTCAAATTATTATACAGGCTAAAATATTGTGCATGGTCCATAAAAAACAACAATAAAAATGAATTGCTCAATAATAATAATAATAATAATAATAATAAAACAGAATATTGATTCAGCATGTCCAGTATTTTGTAAAGTTGTAATGATAAGAG